GGACAGTCCCCAACCTCCTATACTCCAAGGGATGTCTGCTAGTTCCCAGAAGCCTCAGTAGTACTTCATATTCTCTACTTGTCTTGAGCACAGGGAGGATTGTGTCTGTGTCCACACTCAAATTTCCTTCCCATGTCTTTGCAAAGTGAGACGTAGCAGATGGTTCAGATTTTAACTATTGGCTCTTGGAGATATCCCTATTAATACTGGTTTCAATGAGAAGCCGCGTCTCGAATAATTAATACAATAATACCTGTAGATGTTGACTTGGCTGAGTGGATGTCTATCCATTTCTTCATTCCTGCAAATCTCATATTTGTGTCTTGTTTATTCCTGATCTTTGGGTTATTAGTATTTGACATATAATTTTTCATAGCAATGTTGAGGCAGCTGTCGACTACAGACTATAAGGTAACATTTGTGCACCTGTAATGGGCCCTGTCTTGCCCTTGATTTCCCCTTAAATATAAATTCTACTCTAATAAAGAAATCTGACTGAGGATCTGCTTGAATCTGAGAAAAATGACACAGTAGCATTGATTTCCCCTTAAATATAAATGCTACTCTAATAAAGAAATCTGACTGAGCTTGAATCTGAGAAAAACGACACAGTAGCATCCATGTTTCTTAAATAACAGCAGAAACACAGGAGATATTTTGATGACAACATTCACCAACAGCATAAATATTTAGAGAGACTTTCTTGGGAACTAGAAGATGAAAGGAGCCTAAGCTGCTGAGAAGATTGCTCAGTTATGCCTTCATAGTCTGTGGGATGAACCTGTGTTCTGTGTGTGCTGTGCGCCCTCTGGTAGCCGTGAGCGGCCTCACAGTGAGGTTTTTGTCTGGGTTCACACTGAGACCACTCACTGTGTGTGTATCTAGAACAGTAATAAGTGGCGGTGTCCTCAGACTTCACACTGTTCATTTGCAGGTACAGAGTGTTCTTGGCATTGTCTCTGGAGATGGTGAACCGGCCCTTCACGGATGGTGCATACATTGTGTAACTGCTATCTTTATTAATTTCTCCAACCCAATCCAGGCCCTTGCCGGGAGCCTGGCACAACCAGTACATCCAGTAGCCACTGAGGGTGAATCCAGAGGCTACACTGTAGAGTTTCAGGGACCCTCCAGGCTTCACCAGGCCACCCCCAGACTCCACCAGCTGCACCACACACTGAACACCTGAAAACACAGAAAAATCCTGGTTAAGAAATCATCACACATGTCCATTGTCCCTCAGATTAATGTCCACTCACACAGTCAGCATCTACTGCTCTCCATA